TCTTTCCCTCTCCCTCTCTAAATATGTTTATACCGACAAAATAAACAGACCCATGCTTAATTGAATGGTGATCATAATTGAGCACTCTTATAGATGATCACAAAATATTGTCCTGTGAAATGACATTTTTAGAGTGCAAATCATATAAGGTAGAATAAGAATGTACTACTATAATTGAAATGACATTTAAACTATAGAATTTGTCACACTTGATTTATTCTTTATATATACTTATGTTATTTATTTTATTAAAATTATATATAACTCTGATTATCATCTACTTTAGGTTATATACAGTAATTGTTTAAAATACTAATTTATAGTATTTTAATTTATTAGTGAAACATAAAAAATATTTATTATTTTTTTCAAATTAAATATATTTGAGTATTAACAACAAATGATAAAAATAAGAAAACAATTATTAGAATTTGTCACACTTGATTTATTCTTTATATATACTTATATTATTTATTTTATTTGAAAATCATTTGATACTTCATTTCATTAATTTAAATTGACGGATAATCATAAAATTATTTTATATATTGATTTGAATTAATGAAATGAAGTATAAATGATTTTCAAATTTTTTAAAAATTTACAAATTTGATCTATGCATTAAGAACTTTAAATTCAACGGTTGGATTATTAAAATTTGATGTAGAACATGAGTTATTGAACGGAGTAAGTCTACGTAGATTCACTTACTACACTCAATAACTCATATTCTAAATCAAATTATCTAACTATTAAAGTAAAAGTTCATAATATATGGATCAAATAAATTAAAAAAAATTAAAATCATATAATATTTCGTTATTTAGATTCATATCAACATATAAAATATTTTTATGGTTATTCATAAATTTGAATTAATAAAATAAAGTATCAAATAATTTTTTAATTTTTTAAAAATTTATAAACTTGATTTATACATTAAAATTTTTTAATTTAACTATTGAATTGTTGAAATTTGATGTACAATATGCGCGATTATATTAACTATCAAGACTTGTGGAATAAATGAATTCTCTTTCTATATATATTAAATTATTTAAACTTGAAATATATTTAAGATAGTCATGAAAAATTATAATTTCAATAAAATCTTATATGTATAAGTGATTATTGTTATAATCAATTATAATGATTGTACTGAATTTTTTTTTGTTTGAATTGAATTAGAAATTAATTTAAGTAAATTAAACTGGTTTTTACTATTATTACAAATTGGTATAATCATTAAAATCTTACTTTAATAGATATACCTATTCAAAAAGATCTTTGTTACTTGGTATGAAATTCTTTTGTATGAACCGTTTTAACATGAAGTAATTCAACCAATGTCTCATCCATGAGGCAGTAAAATGACTTGCAATAGCAGGTTTTTCAACTTGTTTAAAATTGCAAAATAGTCCTTATATTATATGCGGAGACATTGTGGAGGCGCGGTGACAGCGGAGGCATGGTGACGGTGGAGGTGTCGTCTCCTTCCACGATGGTGGCAGCATGGTGGTGGTAGCGAAGGCATGACTTCATTCGCAGTGGCAGCAGAGGCGCGGGCTCCTTCGCACAGTGGCAGCGGCAGCGAAGGTGTCGTCTCCTTTCACGGTGGTGGCAGCACGATGGTGGCAGCGATGACGTGACTTCGTTGACGCGGTGGCAACGGAGGCCCAGGCTCCTTCGTACAGTGGCAGTGGAAGCACGATTTCGTTCGCGCGGTGGTAGTGGAGGCGCGACCTCCTCCTCCTCGACATCACCGGTCGTCGTCTGCGGCGTTCAACTCTTCTAGGGCCTCTCCTAAACCCTAAACCTCGCCACCTCCTCCTCGCCCCTGGTTCGCCCTCAACCGCCTCGCCGTTGCACTCACCGCCGTCATCATCTTCCTCGTTGTCACCACCCGCCGATGGCCAAAACAGTAACCCTAAAAAGAGACTAATTTGCAAAATACAAAAATTTTCATAAACAAAATAACAAATTTGAACCATTAATTATTTTATTATTAAATCTAACGATTAAAAATAATATTTTATTGATGTACCACTTTTCATACTGCTTCATGTTAGAATTTCTTTTTTTGTATTCAACAAATTTTGTATCAAATTTAATATTTCTAAACTTTGACTAATTAAATAAATACAAGTACATAATATGAAGATTATAATACGTCATTAATTTCCTCTTCCATAATCTTAAAAGTGTAAACCCGTATTTACTATTTTACTAAAAAAAATTGATTTTTTCTTTACTGAATTAAATCACCCTCATGCTCAATGAACTAATTCTTTTGTGAGTGAGTAAATTTTCAAAGCTTGACCCGTTAGATATATGACCAGCCTATCGAATTGAGTCATTTTGACATCTATATTTTTAAATTTTTTATATAAAAATAGTTCAAATATTCATAATTTAATTTATTTTTAATAGTTTAATTCAATTATTTATGGGAACAATTGAGTTCAGTTCACTACCATACAATTCTTTTTTCTCAACTCCTGCATATGTATAAGATAAATTTAAATAATCTGTTTATTATAAGTTATTCCAAACCGGTCCAATTCAATGAATAGTCGATTTGAAAAATATATAAATAATAAAGTAGAATGGGAATGAGTTATTCTTAGCATTCAAACCGTCCAAGATCCATGATTCGAAATTAACAGTAACGAATGCGTTAGAAACGACAAGCAGCACATGTAGCGGATAAAAACGACGTCGCTCTCTTTTCTCCTCTGTCGAGTATGACACGATACGATACGATACGATGCACCCACACAACACAACACTACTCCCCCACGCATACACACCGACCTTCCCAATATATATCCTTTTGAGACCGACTTTTCCGGTTACCGATGTTATTCGTCCACGTGTCCCCACCTGCCATTACACCCTGTCTCCTTCATCTTTTCTTTTTCTCTTTCTTTCCATCTTCGCACACCCTTCACTCACGCCTTTTATTCTTTCACAAAATTAATTAAGGGACTTTAGTCTCTTTAATTATCATTATTTTCGCTTTAAGAAACTATTCATTTTCCCAAATCATCATCATGAATAAACGTTAAGAAATGGAATTAATTATTCGACAAATGAATACACTTTTATCACACCTCTTCAAATATCTTTAATACTTATTCAAGTTTTTATTTTATTTTAAATAAGATTCATTATGTTATATTATTGTTAAACAATTCAAGTTACATTTTTACAAATTTTATTTTAATTATAAAATTTTATAAAAAAAAACTTTCACTTTTATAATTTTTTATTTGCACTTTATCTTTTATAAATTTAAAAAATTAATTTAATTATTATAATTAAATATTAATTTAGTTAAAAATAATATTTTTTTATTTGTAAAAGTTATTTGGTACTTTAAGTAATGTTACTTATTTGAGAATAATTTATTTTTAAACAAACACTCAAGAATCATTAAACACAATTTTTCTTATTGATTAAAATTTATTAGAAAATACCAAATTTGAGTCTTATATCTTATTTAAAAACTCTCTCCTAATATTATAATTTTTAATAAATTTTAAATGATAAAAATAATTGTGTTAAAAATTTTGTTGATAACTTTTAACTATTTCAATAATTTTGGTTTCTTGTAGGCATGATGCATGAATGGGGATGATATAGGAGCGAAATTCATAGGCGTGAATGCAGCGAGTGCACATGTAGGCGCGTGGGTGAACTGTTCTTTTTCTCCATAACTTAATTCACACGTCGGTTACCACCTTTTTCTATTTTCTTAATCGCGGCAAGTGCGCGTTATGAGAAGTATAAATGGTGTCCCACTCTTGCATTCTGAGAAACAAACTCATCTCTTTGCTTTTGGCAGTGCCACCTAAGTAAGTTATTATACACTCACACTTCCCTTTGATCATGGCAGAGGAGCCCCAGAACAAGTATGAGACCTCTCAGCCCAGTGAGGTTGAGGTCAACGATCGTGGTGTTTTTGACTTTCTCGGTAAGAAAAAGGAAGAAGACAAGCCTCAGGAGGAGGTCATCGTGACCGAGTTTGAGAACAAGGTGACAGTGTCAGGGGAAGCTGACAAGAAACAAGAGGAGGGAGAGAAGAAACCCAGCCTCTTAGAGAAGCTTCACCGATCTGACAGCAGCTCTAGCTCTGTACGTTTCTTTTTTTGCATGTAAAAATATATATAGCTCGTTCATCATTGATCATATTCATAACTTAACTTATCTATCATATTTAACTCTTTTATATAAGTATTGTCAAGATCTACTAAATTTACTGTTTAAACTTAACCAGTAGTTTTGATCAGTATGACTTTTGAAGTTTTGAATTCGAGTTATATATAGATTGTTTTGTTAAATATTTGGTTGGAATTTTGCAAATTATGATGGTGTTTTATTGTTAAAATGTTGTGTGTTTTTGATCGGTGTATATGGTGATGATGTTTGCAGTCAAGTGAGGAGGAAGGAGAAGATGGAGAGAAAAAGAAGAAAAAGAAGAAGGAAAAGAAAGGGTTGAAGGAGAAGATTGAGGAGAAAATAGGGGGTGATCATCACAAGGAGGAGGACACAAGTGTTCCAGTTGAGAAAGTTGAGGTTGTTGATGCCCCACACCCTGAGGAAAAGAAGGGATTCCTCGAGAAGATTAAGGAAAAGCTACCAGGACAGAAGAAAGAGGAAGCAACACCTCCTCCACCTGTTGCTGCATCATCAGATCATGGTGAGGGTGCTCATCATCATGAAGGAGAGGCAAAGGAGAAGAAAGGTATCTTAGAGAAGATAAAGGAGAAGCTTCCAGGCTATCACCCCAAGACAGAGGAAGAAAAGGAAAAGGAAAAGGAGAGTGGTGCTCACTGAGATTGAGACAAAGCCTTTTTTGTTGGTTGGACTTGGAGATGATTGTGGTGTGCTTTGTTTTCATTTCAATATGACAGTGTTGTGGGTGGGTTTCTTTGTGTTTCTTGATGCATATTTTAATTATTATTGTGTATGGAGTATCTCTTTGAATATACAAAAAAGTTTCTGTAGGGTTCCTATTCTTTTATCTTTTCCATAATTTTGTTTGAAGAAAAAAAAAGTGTTGAAAGAAAATGAATGGAATAATGTATTTTATTTGTGTTTTAGGTTTTATTTTTAAATGATTGTCATCTATACACCCTAATAATTGGGTTGTAGCTAAACTCAACCATGGTCCGTATGATTAGCTGAATAAAGTGATTCGGAATAAACATTATGATCGGAATTTATTGAAATAAAATTGAGTACTAATACTATTTTATCCTATGCTTTCTATTCATAAATAATTTAAAGAATTAACGTGTGTAGTTTAAGAGATGAAAAAGCTTGTGTCAAATATCATGACATATAAACACATAAATGTTCTTTTCTCAAGTAATAAAAAATTATCAATAAATGAATCCCCTTACCGTGGAATGGATCGCTTACACTATTTTAGCTAAGATCCTGGATTTCCGTTCTAGGGCATTCGATTTGGGCAATAATTTATTCTGCCACGCCCACACCATACATGTACCATACCCCACTACAAAGACCTAAGAAATGATGAATGTTGACCATTTGTTGTTGATGGGTAGGCTATAGTACTAACTGCTCATTTGTTAGGATAGGATTCTTTCATACTTCAATTATTTCCTGGCCCCCTGGTAGGGTATGTAACCTTTTATCTTTTAGTCGCAATGGCTATTAACAAGTTAATTAAGATCCTAACTAGTGAAGGAATTCAAACCGAACCGCTCGTGATTTTAATCTTTGAATCCAACGAGTTTTTTACTCAAAAGCGAACCAAACACACCAGCAAACTCCCCCAATGTTTCACATACTAGATTTAAGTTTGATTAAATTTTATCAAGATACTAAAATATAAATATTACATGATTAAAAATATAATTATTTTACAGCATTAATATATAAGATATTTGACACTAAAAGTTTTTAGTCTATTTAAATACTAGTTAAAAATGTTTTGGAAAATTTATATATTAAAAATAAATAGTATTTTTCTGGTAGATAAGTTATAAAAAAAAAAAAAAGTTTTTAAACATATTAAAAATGAAGCTCAGGAATATACTATGCCGCGGAATGCAGTCAAGGATTTGCCTCACCAAAATGAAAGAAAATGAAAGAATTACTACACAGGTTCAAAGCTATGAACTCCCACTGCTTTGTTTTAAAAGTATCGGTCATCCTCCCCATCTAGCAATGAGAAGGAGAAAGGGTGGAACTTGTAACCATTACCCTCATAGAACTTGTTTTGGTAATCCACCTGGTGAAATCTTAGGATAAATCGCGAGTGATCTTTTTTTAATGATCTAGAATTAATAGGATTTAAGTTTTTCTGAAGTGGAACTATAATTTTTCTCGATACATCCTCTCATCTTCATGGTATATGTATCAATGATAAATGACTCATTTAGAATAGATCTAAATGACTCTGATGCCATTTTAAAATAATAAATTTGAACTTAACTCAATCCTACTAAACCTTCACTTAAATATTATGGAACTTGAGTTTTTCCCACCAGAAGAAGGCATTCAAAGTTTCCGTGCCAAGCAACACCCCAACGGTGGTAAAAGCGCGAATAATAAAACCAACTCTAAGGATGATCACATTGGTGTACCTGTCACATCAGGGAGAGAAATTCAGATTGATTTGAGGGAACAAAGAGTGACGGTTGAGAATGAACCATGAACCTGATGAGATTATTCAGAAAATCTTACATAAATAGTAGTTAATCGTCCTTGAGAGTTGAAAAACAGGTGGGAAAACTCCAACTATAAAAGCCAAAGTTTTAAAGTTCAAACAACTGGTTTCTGTGTTATAGATATCCTATATCTATAATATCCCAACATCCTGAACAATTTCTCGTGATTCAATCATGAATCGAATGCTCACTATTCCTATCTTCCTTATATATAATGAGTTGAAAGCAAGAAAATTTAAATAGCAATTCATAAACTTGGCATACCCCTATGCCATAATGAGAACCTTATCGTAGAACACACTTGATAATTCTGAATGAGCGAGACAAGAATAATGCCCCACTTACTTGCTATATAGGCAGCCCAAAAACATTTTTTTTATTATTTGCAAAAGCTGCTGTTTTGTAATATTGAGCATACTATTATGAATGAGTTTGTGAGAAGAATTAGAGATTATAGAGACATGCCTAGCAGCCTAAGAGCCCATAGACGAAAGTAAGAAGCTGTATCAGAGACTGCTCCAAGCACAAATTCTATGGTGTGTATGAGTTGATGCACAAAGACTTAACTGAATTCAAATTCCTCGTGACCATGGGAATCATGATTAGACTCCACTAGCAAGCTCTCTTCTGTGCTTTGAAGTGGAATGTAGGATTCACCCCGGTGCCTCTGAGGTAACAAACTATCGGAACTAAACCAAAGACAAAAGTTTATTGTAGGAACGAACAGAGAGCTCAATCAAAGTTCAAAAGAAAGCATACATGTTCATGTTGCTTCTTCGGAATAAAAGGTTTTGGGATCAGCATCCAGGGTACAGACACCACAACTAGAAGTAAAAACACTTGCTGGTAGGAACCCAACAAAGAATGTCAGCTATAATCATATTGAAATTAGCCAAAAAATGAGGGGAAAGTGAACAAACCTGCAGAATTTTCTGACCAACAAAGAGTTGGTCTTCATCCAATCATCTGTAGGACTCAGGAACATGTAGATCATTATATGGTACAAATCAGCTGGAGAACCAGTGCACCACTTAACCATAATGAGAGCAGATAGATAACCAAATAGACTGTTGAGAAAGATCATCTGGGGAATAAATTGGAACCTGAAACGTGAAAGATTGAAACAACAAAATCAAGCCACGGAGAACCCCCTTCTCACCATATCTGAAAAATTGGGTGCCTCACACACCCAAACAAATCATTATGAATAACTCCAAAATTTTCACCACACTAACCTCTCACCTCCATTGATTCCGGTCATGCAGCCCTCACCTCTGCCATCGCTAAACTTGCAGAAAAGATTGTAACTTTAACATTTTCGCCTTATTCTGTCCAACCTCAACTCGCTGCAATTTATTCATCAAAACCATATTTCCTATTGCTTGGCGGAAGCCAAACTCTTCAACCTACTACCTCCCATTTACCCATTTTGCCACATAACTACCACACTCAACACATCCACCTGCCCAAATCACAATCATTCATTCCTTTATCAAACACAACTGGTACATCACCTTGTGTTGCTGCCATAGCGCAAAAGGATCCAACGGAGCAGAAGCAGCAAGCAAAGAGGCAAATATTTCAAAGGAAAGTAGGGAACCTCATGTATCTAAGCCTAGCCCATTTGTTAAACTTTTGATTTCTCAAAGGCTACACCACAACACTTTGTCTGCTACATCACTTGTTGGGCAGTTGCCTTGGTCTCTTCTCGCTCCAAGAAAATTGTACCCAACCTGCTTCTCCACACCCCAAATTCACCGTTAGATCCCACCATACTCTCACCATAGAAGCCACCTCCATATCCTTGTTGAGCAACTGGAAGTTTTACAAATGAAGATTGATCAACAACGCTGTTTGGATGACACACGGTATGCTTCTTGGCAAAATATGCTTAACAACTTTGCTTCCCAAACCTAAGTCTTTGTTCACCGAACTGTAGAACACTGGTATCAGCAGTAGCTACAATATCACCAATACTACCAACAATACCATGGACAAGCTCCATACCAACAATACTACCAGCAATACCTAGGACATGATCCATACCAACAACAATATCAACATTACTACACATATCAATAGTATATAATTTTGCACTACCAGTAGGCCTATTGTCGGCCCCAACCTCAATCTCAAATTCATCCTTATCCTTACGCCCAAGTTCAACCCCATTTTGTCCAACCCCAACCCCAACAACAACATATTCCAATATCAGTTGTTCAACAAAAAATTCAAAAGCTCCAACTTTTTTATCAACCAACTACCCTCACAGAACACACACCCTTTTCAAAGCCCTATATCCTGTTTAAAATGAGCACACATGATGAGAAAAATTTTGGTCCCAAAACTCTGCAGAAGGCCCCCCTTAAATGGTTTACTTTGTTTGAAGATGCATTGCTCCATCTCTCGCACGTTCCCCAACCCAATCCCCATCCAAAATTTTCTATTTGCTAAACTTTTGGTTTCCCATAACCCATTTCCCCTAGCCTGGTTGTTGTGCAGTCAAAATCAGCCCTACGCTTTACCAAGACAGTTGTCACTTTGTTTGTTAGAAAAATTCTTAGAACTAGGAATTGTAACAATTCGAAGAACAAGAGTGAATAGGGATACCTATATGAGAAAGGAATCCGAAGAGTGTACTGTTATTGAATGAATTTGATATAGAAGGATTACAAGAATACATGCCTAATCCCTCTGTCCTGACAGCTATTTAAACTCCAACAATTCTAACAACTAACTAACTTGCTGACTCAGCAAGAATACAAGTCCAAATTTATTATTCTAAAAAATTCTTCGTAACAATGCCTTCCTCTTGGAAACATCCTTGACCTCAAGGATGGAACGATGGATACTTTTTTTTAAGATCATAGTAAAATTCCCACGTAGAGTCTTCTGGTAGTTTATGCTTCCATTTAACTAGTACTTTGGTTACAGCTACTCCCTTCCTTTTTACTGTCATCCTGTCCAATATCAATTCAGGTTCCTTTTCATAAAATGCATCTTCAGCTTGGAATGGTAAATTTGATGATGCTGTTGTATTACCAATATGTTTCTTAAGCTGAGAAACATGAAATACATTGTGCACTTTTGACTGTGGAGGTAATTCTAATTTATAAGCCACTTCTCCAATTCGATCCAGTACCCTATAAGGGCCAAAAAATTTAGGACTTAATTTAGCGTTGCTCCTATAAGCCACTGACACTTGTCTATATGGATGCAGTTTCACATAGACCAAATCCCCTATCTGATATTGCTTATCCCTCCTATGTTGGTCAGCAAGTTGCTTCATTCTCTCCTGAGCTCTTTTCAAGTGAAATTTGAGCAATTTAAGCATCTCTTCCCTTTTTGATAAACTCCTATCAACCAACTCAATCTTGGATTCACCTGGTAAGTAAGGAAGA